TGAAGTTGGATTTTTTTTTTTTTTTTGTGAATTTATAAGTGTGATGTGGTTTTTTTTGCAAACAAGGAGAGTGAGAAATTGGCCACCAAGGTTAGTAGAAGTTAGAAGTTAGAAAGTGCCAAAGATTTGATTTCTAGAGGAGGGTACTTGATAACCCGCGTCCATTATGTTCAGATTCATCCTGGTTCATCAAAGGCACCCTATAGAGGTAAATTCAATCATGAGTGTATAGACAAGTCATTAACTTGATGGATTGCTTTGGAGTCACATTTGCATAGAATGACTTTTTACTATTTATGCAAAGAGAGGGAAGATATTTACAAGAACAACGTTATAGATTTGAATTTTAGATTAACTGCCATCACTAAAATTTAATTACATGGCATCTTTGTTATGAATTTGTTGATCATTTATATTGTTTAACAATTTGTGAGATTTGTGACAGTAGAGAAAGAGATTGTTTAGATTAAGAGTTTAATTTTAGTCAGATGAAGCTACTGTGGCTATATATGTAGATGGTGTCTTTTTTTTTTTTTTTTTAGGGTCTATATCAACGGAATTATCCATTTATAAAGGTAGAGGTCTATACCTACGGCAAAATTTTTTAAAATTTCTCAAGGTCTATACCAATAGACAAGTCTTTCATCGGAATAGGTCCCAAAGGGTCTATACAAATGGATTAGGTGTTGATATAGATTTTATACTGATGAGGTTTCTATCGATTGAAAGCTCTTCCATCAGAATAGTCCTTGGGGGTCTATACTAATGGAAAAAGAGTGTATACCAAGGTTTTGAAAACCGGACCGGATGGTCGGATCGGTACCCGGTGATCTAAACGGTTCGGTTACATTTTTTGAACTGTTTAAACGGTTAAACCGTTTGAAACCGCTCAAACCGTTCAACCGGACGGTTCAATGCTTGGGCATAAAATCTTGAGAAATTTGTGTCCGCCGGGATTTGAACTTGCAACCTTTGAATCTTTGGGTTGATACTTTGCCACCAGGACAACGCAATGCTTTAGTAAATGAGTGCTTACACTTTTATTTAACCCATATAAATCCCAAAGATTTTAACCTTAGTGCTGATTACAAGCTTGAGATTCGAACACTTGGTCTCCATGTTGTAGAACAACGGTTTTTCCACTTGTACACAATGTTCTTGTCATTTTAATGCTTTACAATATACTTATTCTACTTTGAAGCACAATTATATTAAAATTTGTTATTGGCGGGACTTGAACTCCGAATCTCTCTTATAAAAGTCAGCCATCTACCACTACAACCAGCCCACACCGTGTGATATCTTTTGCAAAATCATATATTTATAGTATTTCATTAAACCGGCGGTTTTACCGGTTAAACTGATTGAACCGTTCAAATCGTGAACCGAAAGTCAAAACGGTTTGACCTCCGGTTCGGGTTTGAAAACATTGGTGTATACAGATGGAAAACTTCTGTCAATATAGATGCATTTGCTTGTTAGTGTTTTCAACTTCTTTCCCAATTTTAGATTTTAAAAAGAAAATGATATAATAACATATGACATGATATTATAAATTTATATATCGTTATATAATTAATTTTTTTTATTTATGAGTTTACTCAAAATATTATTTATATTTATTTATTTAATGATACATTATATACATTTAATAATACATTATAATTGTAAACTTAAAAGGCTAAAGTATATACCAATTGAACATACTTATTTAAAAAAAAAAAAAAACATGTATCTTACATATAAGTAACATATGTCAAGTGATTTTAACAAAATAAAAATCTAACTTGAAACAAAACAATCTTTAATAATATTCTTTAAATAAAAATGGGTTTTCAATCCACCGTCATCTCCAAAAGTATTAAAAACCATTCTTTAAAATTATATTTTAAAATTAAAGGCATAACTATGAATTTATTTACTGAGGTTATATCTCATATATCATGTTTTTTTCCTTCTTCATCATTTCAAATAACAATCCTAAAGACATTGGGGATGAAGGTACGTGATGGTTTCTTATTAGATTCAGGTTGAACTTAGGGCTCATTTGGTATAATAGTTTAGAGGTTATCAGTGATTTTACTCAAACCACTAAAAATATGTGTTTAATAAATTTATTAATTTTATTTCAAAATTACTATAAACGAGATATTTGATAAAATATTTTATTTAATAATTTGAGATTAATAGATAGTGATTAAGATCCAAACTGTTAACAGATTGAAAAAGCTATATAAGGTTATTTTTTGTAATAAACTGCATTAGCAAATTGAACATTTTTAATTTTATTGATAAATTTATCTCTTTTAATTTTTTAATTTTTGGCCACAGTTTTAAATTAATACTTATTTAATTAGTTTCAACTTTATTTTTGTTTTTAATAATATTAAATAAACATTATATTTTTATTTTTACATTAATTTATCATAAAAAATGCATTAACTTAATAAAAAAAATTTACTAATTAGATGAAAATATTAAAAATTAAAACTAATATATTTTTATCTTTATTAAAAATAAAAATTAGTGTATGATTATACTATTATTTATTTATTTATTTATTTATTATTATTATTATAAAATTAATAACTTTAATAATAAAAAATATATAACAAAAAATATAATTATTTTTTAAAAATATATTCTTATTAATCATTTAATTTTAAATAACAACAGCTAACTATTTTATAATCAAATAATAATATTAATATGTACCCAAAAAAAATAGTAATATTAATGTAATCCACTATTTATTATCTATTATTTGTTTTTTGCTATCTATTATTCATTACTTGATTTTCACTATCTATTATCTACTACTTGCTTTTCATTATCTATCTACCATTTACTATCCACTAACCATCACACACCCCTACTACCGCTACTTGCAACCCATTACTTATTATCCACTATCTATTTAATTTTAACCGTTATACCAAATAATTGAGATTTAATTTAGTTTTGTTACTTATTTGTTGGTATTAACAAGTTAGAGGACCCAATTAGTAATTATGACACAATTTGACTTTAAAATATTTATTTAAATATTACTTGACTTTAATAATAATTAAAATATTGTCAAACTTTAATTATTATTTTTGATTGTATGAGTTTCGTTTATAAATGTACAGCGTCCAGCTTCAGGGCCGTGGCACATTTTGTAGTCATATTATAACTATTTTTTTATTTTAGTTTTATAATTGAAAGTAATTTTTTTATTTTTTATTTTATTTTATTTATATATTATATAATTTAAACTTTTAATTTTTAACTTTTTAATAAATAAATATCATTAAATTATTTAAATTCATGATTGACTATTAAATTGCGGATTTAAAAAGCAAAAATTGCGTGCCCTACCGTTCCTCTCAGCCAGCCAAACACCATCGCGCCTACTCTTACTCGTAAGTAATAATTCATCATGAACATCATTCTCTTAACGTGGCTCACTGGTAATCATTGTAGCTTCAAAAGTTGTCAATGGATTGTATTTTTGATTAGTAATCAAACTTTGTCAAAAAATAAGTTATTAACTTTTAATTTTTAATTTCTAATTATTACTTTTGTCAAAAAAAAAAAAAAATTCATCATGAACAAATTGCATAAGAAAAGTCCTACTTTACCCCTTCCTTTTCTGTCGTTAAGCCCATCCCCAAGACCCTTTTTGGTCATATTATCCCCAAAAAACATTAGCTTTGGCCCCTGGTTTCTTTCCCAAACATCCAGCCTCTACCTCTGATTCTTCATCCTTTCCTCTA